TTTATGAGGAGAGGCTGAGGGAACTGGGATTATTTAGTCTGCAGAAGAGAAGAATGAGGGGGGATTTTATAGCTGCTTTCAACTACCTGAAGGGGTTCCAAAGAAGATGGATCTAGACTGTTCTCAGTGGTACCAGATGACAGAAGAAGGAGTAATGGTCTCAAATTGCAGTGGGGGAGGTTTAGGTTGGATATTAGGAAAAACTTTTTTTACTAGGAGGGTGGTGAAGTACTGGAATGGGTTACCTAGGGAGGTGGTGGAATCTCCTTCCTTAGAGGTTTTTAAGGTCAGGCTTGACAAAGCCCTGGCTGGGATGATTTAGTTGGGGATTGGTCCTGCTTTGAGCAGGGGGTTGGACTAGATGACCCCCTGAGGTACCTTCCAAACCTGATATTCTATGATTCTAAGGCCTGGTCTACACTGGGGGGAGGAGGGGAATCGATCTAAATTATGCAGCTTCAGTGAATAACGTAGCTGAAGTCAACGTACTTAGATCGACTTACCATGGGGTCTTCACTATGGTGGGTTGATTGCTGCCGCTCCCCCGTTGACTCTGCCTGCGCCTCTCACCGAGCTGGAGTACAGGAGTCGACGAGAGCACTCGGGGATCGATTTATCGTGTCTAGACTAGATGCAATAAATCGATCCCCGCTGGATCTATCGCTGCTTGCTGATCCGGCCGGTAGAGAAGACATACCCTAAGTGGGCAGATGTTATTTTGAGGGTATTTTGCAAAAGAAGGAAAGCTGAACAGATACATATTTGGAAAGACTGGGAAGTGAATTTTGCTCCTTAATGCTCACCACAGCAAAGGCTTGAGTGGGGGCATGATGGTGGGATTCTTAAACGGTAGATGGTAATGGACTGCTGACTCCCAGCAGGACAAACATCAAAGAAGGAGATCTTGAATACACCCAGGGTCTACGTCTTAGAGGACTTAAGAACCAGTATGATGCAGAGTCTTGTGATTAAAGCAATGGACTTGGGAAGCCTGGGTTCAATTCCCAGCTCTGCCCCAGACTGCGGGTGTTATCTTAGGCAAGTCTCAATCTCTGTGGGCTTTAGTTCATCATCTCCAAAAAGGGATACAATGCTTCCTTCGTGTCTTCTTACCTTGTAGGCTCTTCAGATCAGGAATTGTCTCTTGCTGTATGTAGGAACAATGCCTAGCATAGTGAGGCCCTGATCCCAGGTGTGACCTGTCAGTGCTACTAGAATAGAAATAATAATAGCAGGGCCAGTTTAAAAACTGAAAATCACCACTCTGTCAGTGGCATTATAAAGAATGAAGGGCAGCCAGGGACAGTAGGCTGTCTAGATGGTATAACAAATACACTGGAAAGCCCCATCTCTGAGACTTGGTCTGAAAATGTATGGGTATGTCCTAAAGTGATACCCACTGAATGCATGAAAGGACCAATTTACTTAGTACCTGTAAGAAAACCATATAAAAAGGCATATTATTTATTAACCTTGAAGAATAATCATTAGCCCCAAGAATAATCCACCAGCAATACCAGTGCCAGCTCCATGCATGAAATCCCAGGAGGAACCTAGTGGTCTACACCAGCAGAACCATAAACTTTGGTCCCACTACAGGGCAAAGAAACAGATGCATTAATAACCTTGTCTTCAAGGTTGGACAACTTTTGCATTGCAAATTGGATTAAAATATCCTACCTATGCTTTCACCTCTTCCTTTATAACAAGTATCTGTCTAGAGCCAACTAGGTCAACATTTTTGGGCCTACAGCATTGGCTAATCATTTGTGAAATATGCCAGATCCAAGAGTCACCGCACAATAGAATCAGGGAAAACATTGGCCTTATTCACCACAGATGTGGCAGTACCCCAGCAAAAACTCAAGCAGGAACAATCTACATGGCCAACTCCAATTTAGCTACAAGAGTTTTCTCCCCTCAATACCACCTTTTTCTCCCCCCAAAGAACTAATTTAAGAAGGCAGTGGTAAATGGATAATTTTACAGTTGAATTAAACTATGTTTTAGATTCCATTGTTCATCGATAAAGCATTTCTGTGGAGTTCACCACCACAATGTCTGTGTACCTGGTTCTGTGTCCATGGCAACACTACGCATATAGATCAGTACAAAGAATAGTACATTTTGTAGTGGGCTGTGGACCACGGAGCAGTTGAAGTTACAGTGAAGCTGGGCACTGCCATAAGAAATGGTGTCTCTCATAACCTCCTTTGTGGCAATGGTTAAAGACCACAATTGCCTTTAACCCTTAATTGGGGTTGGAGGGAGAAAGCTTCCTACCCCACTGAATGAACCAGGAATGATCTCTCCATTAGTGGGGAAGCTACGTGAGCTGAATGGAGGAGGGAGAACACTGAATACAAAGTATGGTTTATAGCAGTGTTTCTCAATGACTGGATCATGGACCGGTGCCAGTCCCTGAGATCTCCCTGACACAGCTTAGGAAGGCAGCAAGCCGGTCCCTGGGATCAAAAAGGTTGAAAAACACCGTTTAGCAAAGCTGTAATGTAACCAATTCCATTTTTCTATACTGCTAATTTTACGTATATTTTTACAGGAATGTAGTCTATTCTACTCAAAAAGGTTCTGCCTCCCCTGTGTTAATGAAAACCTACAGGAGTTTCCTTTGGAAATACGACAAGACTTGGATAAAAGGAAGTCTCATTCAAAATCCCACCCCTCCAAAAAAACAGATGCAAGAACTTAAATTAAGAACAACTGGAAGAGACACTGCTCAGAGGTTTTTTTGTCTGACCTAAAATGTAGATTTTTGTAAAGATGATGTTTAGGCAATTTACTACCAATACAAGTATTTTCATGACAGTTCTTTAAGTTAGTTTGGATTTAGGTATTCCCACTGAGTGTTTGCAATGCACGCACTGCAGCACTGGGCTACTGCAGGAGAACCAGAAAGGGAAGCCTGTGGTCACTGACCAGGTTACATGTAGTGCAAATATTAAACAGCATAAAGGTTGGAAAATGTCAGAATTTTACAGTTTTTAAGTTTTCATGAGCTAGCGTGTTAGACATTTACGGGCAAGTGTTATTAAAAATACAGGCAACAGTCTCAGTAGTTTGTCAGGATAGTGTGACTGAAGACGATTTACACCAGCTGAGAATCTGGCCCATAATAGTTAACTTGACAATATCACTTTACTAAGGTTATGATAGACAAAGAACCTGATGCCTTCTGACTCTTCCTCCCACCCCCAAGTTTCTGTTCTACAGCACGCGATCACCGAGCATATCAGAATGGATATTCATAGAAAAGTATGTGGTCTGGAGGCCATTGCGTCAAGACTAATGCCACATGATGACTTTTGCAAGCAGATAAACTTACAATGGAACATATCAGCTGATACTTACAAGACTGCAGCCACTTTTCACTCCAACTTCCAATAAGGTGGAAACAGCCTTGGGGAGGGGAGGGGAGTGGGAAAGGATTCCTTCCTAGGTACAGCGTTTCCTTTACAAATTAGAAAAAGAGAATGCTTTCCAGATCTTTTTTTGTTCTTGACTGGACAATATGATTTATTTGGAAATAATAAAGTTCATCCAGTATACTCTGTCAGATTAACCCTTGCCTGTCTTGGGCAATTAGAGAGACATTCAAGAGAGATTTAAATTAGGCTGTGCGGGTTTAAACAATTATTATTGAAATGATGGCCTTTATTGATTTTGCTTTACTTGCATGGGATATTTTATAGAAAAATTAAAGTCAATGTGAATTTTAACCTGATTTTTTTTTTATAACAAGTAAATGGTTGATTTGCCAAAATAATCCATTACTGACTGGAGTTAGCTGTACCAAGCGATTTGTTTGAGATCAGTGTTGAATGAAGAGTTAGAGAGATGGGCACTGACTGCAATATTTTAGTCTACTAGGGCTGCAGATTAATACTACATTGACTAACGTGGTCAGAAACTAGTATGTTGACAGCAGTCTGAGTGCTGAAGTACCCACTGATTCACACAGTGTAAATTAAACAATCAGATGATAACTTTCACTCAGGGCTGACCCAGGCCAGATTTGAGCTAGTGGCCTCGATCAGGGGTTCTCAATCTTTTTCTTGCAGAGACCCCCTCCACAAAATGCTATAAAAATTCCACGGACCACCTGTGCCACAACAACTGTTTTACTGCATATCCAGTAGATTAAAAGCCAGGGCCGGCATTCGGGGTAGCAAGCAGGGCAATTGCATGCCACAGGGGGCCCCGCAAAGCTAAGTTGCTCAGGCTTTGTCTTCAGCCCTGGGTGGCAGGCCTCAGGCTTCGGCTTTCTGCCCTGGGCCCCAGTGAGTCTAACGCCGGCCCTGCTCTCGGGTTTATTTTGGCAGACCCCCTGAAACTTGCTTGCAGCCCCCCAGAGGGCCCCAAACTCCTGGTTGAGAACCACTGGCCTAGAGGTCAAACTCCAGAGCTCATTACTATTCCTCTGAGTCATCTAGTCCCACAGAAACCAGAGCTTTGCTATCTTAACTAAAAGTATATTAGTCAATTCCACATTGCTTGTGGGAATAGTAGTGTCCAGTCATTCTAAAGAAATGCAATTTAAACAGCAGGGCCTCTTTGATCAGTACAGTACCTGTTTATTATAATGATATGAGGGTGGCTTCTGCTGTGATATCATCACTGGTGAATAAATTGCTAGTTTGAAGTCAGGTGGTTACAACAAACACACACAGAGTCCAAGGGCTACTCAGTGCAAATACTCACAAGAATAAGGCTTGTAGGATTGGACTCTTAGGCCTCCCACAGTCCTGGAACTGGTTCTGTGTGGACACCTTTGGAGCTACATGGAGTTCCATGGAATGCAGCAGGGCTCCAGTTAGACAAAGATGTTTGCTGACCAGTTGCAGGAGCAGGACCTTTATTTACAACTTAGCTTGCAAACTTCTGAGTTATCAGCTTTTTATGGGAAAAAATTGCTTTTGCATAGCATCCCACATTTCTACAGCATCACCCAAACAAGATCAAAGAATGTACATGCTTTTGCATTATCTACACTTGTGTGTAAGCCAGAACTTAACCTTTTGGATTTCCTTCTTAATCAAATTTTCATGGGAAAAATTGCATTAACAGAAGGTGTTCCCAGCCAGAAAAAATAGATCTGGAATGTTAAACTTACCAGAGTGTAAAACAGACCACTTTACATTTCAAATTTATGTTAAATGTCTACAGCCAGAAAAAAGCTTTGAAAATTGTAGCTAAGCTTGGGCGGGTAACTAAGGCTCACCTAACACTAAAACTAAGGTTGCAAAAAGCAGAGAGAGATACATGATGGGAAGGTAATAATGTACTTTTCTTGTTTAAAAAAAATATAGTAATTATGTATTGGTCTCTGTCAGCTTATGTGAAAGTGGATGGTAATTTTGTACCAGGAGGGGTCCTTCTAAAAGACCCTGAAACAAAGGGATTTTAACACAAATTAGACTGCATTTAAAACAGAAGGGGTGGATGGGGGAAAAGAAAGACTGCTGTCTTGAATGTAGGTTTCAAAAGGACACATCATCTTAGACATGTTGAAAGAACAGTTTTAAACCATCATGCTTACAGTCAACCCAACCTTTTTTTAAGCAATTGTCAATAGTATCTGGGATAAAAGAGAGTAATGTGAAAATCCTAAAGTTTTTAAACAAACTAGTTCATCTTCTGGTACAGCACATCAACAACAGGTACATTTCATCATTGGCCCTGCACACACAGCTGCAGTGTTTTGCACATAGAGCATAGGATTGTAGAGTCATTCAGGTTTGACCCATCTGCCCCGCCTCAAATGGAGGCATGGCTAGAACAACCCTAAGTGATCTGTGATCCTGTGCTCCAGATTGCAATGGTTGGAGCTGGGCCCAGTCCTGCAGGACAAAGGCCACCACTGCAGGGTGAGTGTGAAGTGGACTCACTCTCCAAACTCTCCCCCACCCTGCACTTTTAGGGACTTGCTTTCCCCCACATCTTTGCTGTGAAATTTACAAAAAATTTCCAAGCCAAAATCATAGACAATTACACCTGGAGCGTACCTGTCCTTACTGCCATATACAGGCTCTAACAGTGGCAGTCTTGTTCTCCCTACTGAATTAGTTTTAAAGTCCCTGTGTCATTTTGCATATGGTTTCATAAAACCGCCGACACCACGTCTGTGATTTCTCAGCCACATGACCAGATTTTCAGAAGCTGCTGCGCAACTACAGCTCTCGTTGGTTTCAGTGAGGTCACTGGATGTTCAGCATTGCTGAAAGTCAGGCCACCAACCACCACTCATCACTACGTGGTTGGAGCAGCAGCATGCTTCTCCAGCCTCTGCGACTATTTCTCTTCAACATTCTTCTTGCCTAGCTAATAAATGCTCCAACTTTGCCAGGAGTGACCTGATGATCAGGGATCCTAGTTTTCAGTGATAAAAAACAAAAATTCTTCAATAATCCCTCCCCCCCCATAAAAATCCATGTTTTCCACAATTAAAATGAAACACTGAACTTTAGTTTCCCTAGCCACTATATATAGAGATATCAGTTGAACACAATGTTTTATTGATATATTTACTGTTGTAAAACACTGGAATGAGCCCATCACATTGTTTCTTTACTGTTGTCAATGGTCCTACTGTTTCAGCCTCTTGTTTTTGTTTCTTTTTATGTTTAGTGCTTTCCATGTGTTCAACAATTGTCTGCCTTCGAACGTAATCTACAGCCTACCGTACAGAACAGCACATTACCAGCAATGTGAAATTTGTCCTTTGCAAGCTCAGTGACAGTCTTTAGGGGTGATTTTTAAAGTTTTTGGCATCTTTTCATATCTTTAATTAGTCATATCTGGAGGCTGCAGTGAAATCTGAGATGCATTAAAACATGAACTCCTATACACCATTGAGTAAGCTTTGCATGCTGGAAGCGGTTTATTGGAGTATGTTTAGCTATGTAAATTTAAAGCACATTCAACAATCTACCACAAGAGGGGGGAGGTTGCACACATTGAACAAGACGTGACACTGGTACTTTCAGTAAAACTTAGTTAATAGTTAATGTTTTTGTTTTTTTCACAAAATATTAAATGCCACATTTTTCCAGGGCAAACTGATTTCTAGCATCTGTGCTGATGATGTAACAGGATATTTAGCACTGAACAAGTGAGCTAGAGCAAAGGTCCAGGCAGATGCGATAATACAGTAACTTGTGATGATATAAACTAGATCTGGGAGAATAATGACCTGATTAAAGTTTTTTCTAGTTACAAAATGCAAATGAATTCAAGCAACTGTTCTGGCTATTGGTAATTACCCTCTGGGATATTTCAGGGACTCTCTTCACTGTTATTCCAAAATCGGGGCCTGACCCTGCGAACACTACCCAGCATAAGGCTGGATTCAAACAGTTATCCCTATTCAACAAAGGACTTAAGAACATACTTCACTTTAAGGATGTGCTTAAAGGGTAGCTGAACAGGGATGACTAGTATGTCATTAAATGCTTTGCTGAATTGGGGCCATGCTGCTTACTAAACATAAGTAGTCTCATTCATTGCGGAAGCAGCCTATCACACAAACGCCAAGGTTTTAGATAGGATGCATTTTTCTAAATACACTCTTGATATTGTTCTTTTAAAAACTGCTCTCACAGTGCATAAGTCGTGTTATGTAATAAGCATACTCAGCATGTTTCTTTACTAGTACATCATGTTACCATGAAAGATTTGGGCTCCAATCCTGAAAACACTTGTTTATATGCTCAGCTCCACATGAGTGGCATCACTGAAATCAGTGGGATTACTCACTAAGCATTTAAGTGATTTCTGCACTGGGGCTTGCATATCAAAAGCTTGAAGGAAAAACCACTAAGCTAAAGCTCTATTACAAATTAAACCAGTTCTATTGTAGTGGTACGGGATGTTGCAAAGGAACACGTTTTTTCCAGTGATACCTATCAATCTTTATCTGACAAAGCTTCATGAGATACTAACCTAAGCAAGCCCTGAGTCCTGCAAACACTGATTCACATGAACAGCTAAGTGAGTAGTTCCACTGAGTTTAAAACAGAGCTAGTCACATGTGTAAAAGTTATTCATGTGTATATAAACATGTATTTCCAATTTGGACTTTCAGCTCTTTCTGATTAAGTGCTGGATGCAGTCAGCAGAGGGTGGCAAAGCTGTTTGCTTTAAAAACACAGGACACTTTGTGATCACTGTGGATGTGTCTTATCACCAAGAAAATCAAACACCATTCGTGATGCACCACTCATTAAAACTTGTGATCCAATTCTAAAAAATATTTTATTTTTAAACCATTAAGGCAAAACCATAGCTTTAAATTAACCATCTTTACATTCATCAGTCTTACAGTATGACTTTTTAAGCGCATATGGTTCTTACAAGTCATGACACAATCACTAATCAGCTCAATCCCTTATTCTTAAGGAGAGAAAAATCAGATTGTAAAATAAAAATTAGAAAAAAAATAACAATCTACAGGCCTGTTTCCAGTCTGTTGATTCTAGAACAAACATTCAGAATCCATTATATTTAGTAATTAAAAAACTTGTTTTTGTTGCTTGTAGAAGTGCAAAAGACCTCTTAACTTTGTCTTTCCTATAAGTCCCTATGCTACCAGGGCTTTCCATTCCCTCTTAAAACAGCACCTGCACCGTTGTGACTAAAAAGTACTAGGGGATTTAACCTGAGTTACTGGTACTTTACAGGAAGACAATCACTCCATGATAATTATTTTTGACTCCTCACCACTAAGCAGTATCTTCTACTGATGAGTTTGATACATTTTTCACTACACTTTTGTACATTTAATACAAGTAAAAGGCACCCAAGAAAAGTTCCAGACAACTGGAAACCCTGACATAAAATGTTTTTTACATCTATATTTGTGCTGAGTTAACCACTTATGACCCCCCACAGGTTAGGATTTTAATTAACGGCAGCATTGACAAAAAAATGATATTTTTATTGTGCCGCGTTGGATACTACTATAAGGTCATTCTAAAAAAATTAAAATGACCACCACTATGCAAGTACATTGGTGTGTTACATTAATAAAAAAAATAATTCAACAGCTGTTTCTACTCCAGTTTCACTACTTTTAATCTGCAATGTAGATCCTTTGAGAAGTCAATAAAACTGATCTTTAGTGTTTGACGACATTTCTTTTGTGAAATCAGTAATATTACAACTTTGACTATTTCTCTGTAATTACCAGGGCTGCCCGGGGGGCGGGGGCAAGTGGGGCAATTTGCCCTGGGCCCTGCAGGGGCTCCGTGAGCCCTGGCCCGGCAGTGGTCCGGGTCTTCGGCGGCATTTCGGCAGCGGGGGACCCTTCAGTGCTGCCGAAGACGCGAAGCGACTGAAGGGCCCCCCGCTGCCAAAGACCCGGACCACCACCGGGTGAGTACAAGCGCCGCAGCTCCCCCGCTTTGCCCAAGGCCCCCTGAATCCTCTGGGTGGCCCTGGTAATTACCAAGGAAATAAATCAAGGCTTAAATGTTCTCTTCCACTTCTGCAAGCTAAGGGGAATACTTAGTAGCTGTCTGTGGATCAAGGACATAGAGATGGAATCCTGGCTCGTCAGCAATGCTTCCCTCACACACTCACCCTGTGGGAATCAACTCCAGGAGTGGGAATGCATGAAAGCCTCTTTCCATGGCATCATTCTCTCCTTAACCCATTAATGCTGGCTGGTTGAGCATTAGCCACCCTGATTAGTAAAAGCTTCCCGAGTAGAAATGCTGGGGAATTTTGGCAGTGTGTGTGTGTGTGTGGTGGGGGGTGGACATGGCAGCAAGACTAGTTAATAACCATTCTGCTTTACTGTGGAAAGCAGGAGGCAGTATGAAGAGGTGGGGCCTCCATAAAGGCTTCCATGTGGCAAAATATACCTATGCTAGGTAAATATATCAGCAGTAAAAGTACAGCTATGATGTATTTGAGGTTGACTTGTATACAAATCCAGCAATTTTGTTTCAGAAATCTTACAAAGCCAAGTTAGGGGGAAAAGAATAAACAACAGAGAGTGGATACTTTTACTGAACTCATATGCAGTCAATTAGGATGCCCCATTTGCTTACTGTGAGTGTTTCAGCTGGTTAACATTGTTCCAAACCCAAGTACTGTAGCCTCCGGGAGGTAAACGATAACATTCCGAGTCACCACATAATCTTTTACAGTAATCATAAATCAGGATTTGTCAAAATGTGTGTAACAATTTGAGCCAACATGCATATCAAGGAGCATATACTCCAAAATGCTTAAATGACATTAAATAAATTGGGCCAAATCTTGCAATCCTTACTTAGGGCAAGTCCTGCAACTAATATTCCTGTGAGTAGTCATTACTTAGGCAAGTAGTCCTAATGGGTACAAGCTTCTCACATTGTTGAGGATTGGGACCTTGGTGTTTACCTTGGCAAATCAGCAAGACTGAAGGATCTGGCCCTGTGTCTTCAGCATTAGCTATTCTGTTGCTCCATTACATCTTTCCCTGCAATTGTGATCTCACAGGCAGACAAACTTAAGAAAGGTAAAAGAGGCCAGGATTGAAATAGATTAAGAAACTGAAAGAAGCCTTAATAAAACTATTAAACACATTGATATTGCTTAGAAAAGCACCTTGCCCCTGGGATGGTTTTAGTTAACAGGAAAACACATCTATTATACAGTTGCAGTATAACATGACATAGCTGATGTAGGTTTTACTTTACTGCTGCCACAGACTGTTAATCCAGTGCAGAAAAAATAGATCACCAAAAGAAAACATAGTATATCTTTTACAAATAAGTTCTTAATAGAAATTTGACACATCGATGAACACAGAGAACTTGGATGATAATATATCATCTACAATTTTAAAGTTGCATCAACATTATAAGATGTGATATTATGTACTGCAAACAAAACAGCAACAAATATAAATCATGGCTAGAACAATTAGAACATACTGTGCTTATCCTGGGTGTCATTTTTGAATTCTTCAGAATAAAATTTAACCATTACAAATAATTAACTTAGTGTCTATGGCCTGATCCTGCATCAGGATTTGCTAGAAGAGATCCATGCAAACATGGAATTGTACCTTAGTCACAGGATGCAGAATCAGGGCCTATATATAGATTGTCTTAGTCTATATCAAAAGCAGTGGTTTTCAGCCTCCCTGGGGTCTGCAGACTATGTCCAAGGGGTCTGTGAAAGGTTGTCTTTACCATAGAACATGGTTTTCAACTTGTGGTCAGTGGACCACTGGGGGTCCGCAGACAATGGCTAAGATTTCCAAAGAGGTCCATACCTCCATTTGAAAATTTTTAGGGGTCCGCAAATTAAAAAAAGGTTGAAAACCACTGATCTAAAGTCATAGGAAAAAAGGAATGTTCCTACAGAAAAATTAACAAACAACTTCCAAGTTATTGCATATTTTAATTACTTAGTTTTCATTGTATAGTCAAACAGTTACATATTTTGAAGTGTCTAAGAAATCATAGTTCAACCTCAGTGTGGGTGGCACCAAAATTATTTTTTATATAAACAAACAATAGGAGAGCTTTATTCCTGTAAAGCCAAAAATCAACTTCTCACAAAATTTAAGTATAAATTATGAGAGAAACGTAGGTCTACAGGAATTGTATAGAAACGACCTCTCTTTAGTTTTCCTACTAGGCTTGTAATTAAACAAAGTACTACAGGCAATGGAAAGATGAAAGTGGTTCTGAAGTCCACCCTACACCTTGGCGAGTTTGAGCCCCAAACCTTAATTATGTTAACGAAATATTTTACAGCTACAGTTTATCCTGTGCCAGACTTACTTGTATCAAAAGAGAAATAAAAGGAAGTCTACATTCTACATACAAATATTTTCAAACCTTGTTTACAACTGCAAATGCTCATGCACTGATGTATCCCAAAGTTTTGCACAACACTTGCCCTCCACCACCCTGTGAACTACACTTTGGAGCAATGAGGTGCTCCAAGTGATGCCTCATCAGCCAAATTAGTAACGGAGCAGCTGAACTCTATAAGGAGACTGTCTGAGTAGTATAAGAAGGAAGCTACCCACGAGTGTTCTCTCTTTGGGGAAGGCTTGAGATCTCCACAGATTAGAAAAGATCCTACACGAGGAAGAGCAGGAGAGAACACTCAGCTGGGGCTTGGAAGTAGTAGGGAGAAGCCTGAGGGAAACTATCAGGGAAGAGGGACCATAGGAGAAATCCTATTAGCTCTGCAAAAAGAGCTGGTGAGTGCCTCTGGACAGAAAAGGCCTGCAGCTTCTGGGGAGGGAGTAGGAAGGCAGAAAGTCCTTTGAAAAGGAGTAAGTTTGTGGGGAGGGAAATAGCTGACGCAGGCAATTTGGAACAAGAAACCGATAACCCCAGTGTGGATGGGGAACAGCAGGCAATGCTGAGGTGGCAGGGTGGCTCATGACTGTTTCTCGGTGAGAGAAGAACAAGAGTCCAGAGAGACAAACTATGGGCTGAGACTGTGTTAGTTTCTGTTTAATTATTGGAACCCTCTGGATGAGGGCTCTAAAATGGTAAAAGTCTGGCTCAGGACTGATTTATACAGATGGAGTGGAAACTGAGGCAGAGTCCAGGGCAAGGGAGCATGACACAGTCCTTTATATAGTTTGTGGCAATTAAGTCCACAAACAAATTAATAGCATCTTTAACTTGAGACCTTGCGGCCTTTACTCATAAAAGTTTTCACTTTGTGACTAAGGGTTTGCAAATCAGGTCCATAGTGGTTCACTTAAATAATTGACATTTTCTTTAAAGCTTTTGTGGTATAATTTACTAAAAGTTTGTCTTGCAATTATATTTGTATATTTTACATATGGAAGTTTAAAGAAACACTATCACATTCAGTTTAAAAACAAAAGACAAAACTGAACAATACCAGTAATCTTAGTTCAAACTTCATATTGTAATTTTAACCATTCAGTACCTGATGGTTAACAAACCTGATTAAGCACAGATATTCAAATTTGAATGTGGTTATTAAAATAGCACTGAGGTAAGTTACAGGCAAGCCTCAGACTGTGCCTTTCAATTCAACAAGCCTTAATAAAGGATTATGGCTTTGAATGAAGTACCAATTTTATGACATTCAACAATTCATTATTTTATTATAAAAATAGTACAATGGCTATAAATGCATTTAAAGAACTGATTTTTTCTTTTTTAAAAACTTTGAGATAGAAGCTTTGTGACTGAAAATTAAGGGACAAACTGAGCTGAAACGGAAGAGGACCAGAAATAATGTAGGTAGCTGCAATGCAATCTTCTCCAACTGCTTTGTCTAAGACTTCTTACCGTAAAGCTGACCACTAGAAATGAAAGACAACACAGAAATGCTAGTTCAGTGTGCGACCTAATTCTAGCAATGAGTAAACCTTCACAGATTTAGTATTTAAGATAAACACACATTTAGATACTTATCTTAACCCCTTGAGTTTACAAACTTGTGTTAGAAATCTCATGAGAATGGACTCTGGTACAATTGCTGGTATTTCCTAAATCTGTTTGGGCCAGAAATAGTGCAAACACAAGCTCTTTGGCAGGATTTCAACATTTTAGCAGCTGGTTGGCACCAGAAACCCAAAGGCACAGGAAAATGAAAATTAAGGCACTTTTAAATGCCAAAAAAGTTCAGTTTGAGTAAATGGAAAACATTCTGATTGGTCGTCATTTTAATTTTAGTGCATTTAAAATAGAGATGGGCTCCTGAAATTAAGGGATATGTGGATATCCACAAGTAACTTCATTTGTATTAATGAGGGTTGCATGCACTCACTTTGAAATTAGAATAAAGCTTTAAACAGAATAACCAAATGAATTAAAATTAAGGTTATACAATTTCCCCTAGAACCTGCTGCTAGTCAGAGTAATGATGTATCAAACAGGCCAGCAAGTCTGTAATAGTGTTCTCTTTTAAATAAGACCACTCTTTCTTGTATAGAATTGATTTTTTAAAAAAAACCCTAAAGCTTGGATGTTTTGACTCCTTTGTGCATGATGAAAGTTGCTCAGGAATCTGTTAGCACTTAGTCCAAACTGTAAACTTTCACAAAAGCCATCTTGAAAATCTAATTTGTTAGTGTCTACTGTGATAATCTGTTGAGGTAGCTGAGCTAAATCTGTGAAAAATGTAATGCTAAAATAAAAGTTCTGTATATCAATACTAAATTTACAGTTGAGATTATTGTTCTGTGCCTTATATTCTTTGAAGGCAGTATAGGTATCTCTGTAGTGCACTTAGTGGAATCTCCCAGAATTTTAGGATCTGTTAACATCTTGTTCAAGTTTCTGTAACCCTCGACAAATACTTTTTGTACATATATTTTAAATGTTAATTTTAATTGTAGCTCTTTAAAACACTCATCAAAATTCAAATAGTTATGGAAACTATCCAAAACATTAGCCGGTCTTGAAATGCGACTGCTGTCTTTTCCTACTTAAAAACTTTTAGATGTTTGATGAATGAATTTCTAGATCAGGAACTTTGCTGACAAAGATCCTAGCTGAAATGCAAAGAGGCTCTGGATATGTGCCATTGCTACTGTTGTCATCAGGTTCACACCAAGTGTGCTGTTCACTGTTACACACATGTGGGTGCTGCATACATCAAGAATACCGAAAGAGATGCCGACCACAGCTGTAGAGACCACCTATAGGGGTAGCACTATTGGTGTTAAGTGTGAAAGTTCATAGGCATGGGTGCTGACGTACTCAGATGCTCGTAGTCATAGCATATACAAGTGGAGGTGGGACAGTGTACTGCCTCACCTGGGGAGATGTGGGGTGTGTACAGCTGCTATTTAACTAAACAAGAGCATTAGGGAGGTTAATAGGTTTTGCTCCACCTTTGTATTTAGTATCAGACAGAGAGGCACCAGGAAGACCAGGGTTTATGAAAGGAAGGAAGGAAAATGAGATGGTTTCACTCAGCAGATGAGGTGAGAGTGGACAAAACAAAAAAAGTCTCAACTATCAGGCAGCAAGGAATTAACTGTTCGGGCTCCCAACAGAGCAGGTATTGGCTGATGGTCAAAGACTTAATTATGGGGACTACTATTAGTCAAACACAAGGCATATACCTAAAACTGAGTCAGCTGCATCACACCCCCTTACAGGATAAGCATTCTGAGGGTTTGAGTTTTGAGGAACAAATACTTTCATCTAAGCTTTATAAACAGTAGTAACTCCATATGCATATCATCTACCTGCTGAGGCAATTCTAGCATTGCATTGAAGTCTCTCTCTCTCTCTAGAAAGTGCTGTCCTTGCTCAACCATCCAGGCAACAAAACATCACATTTTATCCCAAATGGAAAAACCAAAAATTCATCATTCACTGTAATAGTTATTCATTCTGGGCCAAACCCTACCTCCCTTTCAATGGAAGCACAGCAACTTAAAGTCAGTGGAATCACTGTGATCCTTCTGCACTGCACGCATTCTGGACAGCACTGAACTTTACTCCACACTGGCTTCCTCCAAAGCAGTGCAGAATAGTGGCTGGTGGTAGGAATGGTGGGGGATGGGCAAGGGTATAGCCAGTGTGACAATGGTTATGTTGCTCCTCCAGTCTAATCACCTGCATGGAGAAAAGTGGGTGTAATGGGTGCTGCTCAATAGAGTAAGAATGCTGCCTTTCCTGACTCCCATGGACATTTACCTGAGCAAGGTTTGTTTATTTTAGACCTGTGCGAAGGTCCAGAATTTGGACCTATATGAAAGTTGGAAACAAACAGAGACAGTGTACTGGAAATGCAATGAACCCCAAACAAGTCTGAAATAAATTTCCAGAAGGGCAGATAACAATAGGAAGTTGAAGGATTTTAAAAGATCCAGAACATTTAGGTCCATATTTAACTTGAGAAGTCAAATGTTGACAACTCTTATGATTTCATTACGAGTCTTGCAATATTTGATATTTTATTTAAAGCCCCATCTTCTGGAAAGAAGTGATTATGTGAGAATCTCTGCCTTCATTTAAGTTTCTAGCCCTCAATCTTGGGAGTAAAGTTTGAAAATGTGACCTAAAAGCCCCTAAAACACCCCCCCCCAAATCCAAGATATTAGTGATATATCTTATAGTTTTTAAGCCAACCTCATCATTTTTTGGCATCTGATTCATGATTTTTAAACATTTGCAGTTGGCAATAGGAAACATTTTTAGTAGCAGAAAGTACCATTGCTGAAATCCTCTCATTTTTCTGAAGTCACAGTGTACTGCAATAATACAAAAAGCAGATCATTTCTCAATCCACTGTTTTCTGATAAAACTTGAAAATCTATTCTCTAATCTATGCATTCTTTACTTTTTCCCTCCCCCAAACACATACACCACTTTGAGCTGTGTGTGCCTGAGAAGTTACATAAGCACAGAAACTGGAATAGATTCTAAACACACTGATGGAAGTATAGATACTTTGTTTTTAACACTTGCAATGTGTAAGTTGAAAAAAAATCACTCTAATCATCTTACAATATGTAAGGCTCAAATGACCAAAAGCCTAACTGTACCAACAAGGCTCTAGCAGAAACAAGTTCTATGATGAAAACAGAGATCACTGTTCTGTGTTCTGGGATTTATCAAGCCTTACTCCCAAGTTGATTCTGTTAGTGAAGGTTTTATGATTCTGAAGCCTTGAAACCATGCTGCAATAAAGCAGGCATGAAAACTGACCCTTTTTCAGCCACAGAAAGTATTACTATGAAAGTATTGTCAAAATTGGCTGTCAAGATCGTTGTTTTAACACCCCATAAAAAAAGATCAATAAACTCTCAGGGTAAAAAGGAAAAGATAGATAAGAGAGCAGGAGACTGTCTTTAATATATTAAACGTTACTCCCAAAAGAAACTCACGGCTAGCAGTTGTTTTCATTCTTTACACAGTAGTCTCTGAAAAGTGGCATGATGGAGTTCCATGTCTATTATGTTTCAATGATTTTCAGATTAGATGGGCTCAGTTTACTGTAACATGATTGTTCTAACTGCCAGTCAAGCTGTGTTATTTTGGCTTTATTTCACCAGTAAGAAGTACACTGTGGCTCAGATTCTGCCCTCAATTACATGAAACGATTTTCTCCAAGCTGTGCCCTCTTCCTTTACAACTGTGCAATCAGTGTCTACAAATTCTGCTTTCTGTACCTGTTGCCTCCAGTGTAGTAGAGTAAAAGGAGGGCACAATATAGTGCATTTGGAATTTAGTTAATAGTTCTGTTGACAATGTATGAAGAGGAACAGAAGGCAGTTCACCCAGCTGGATCGGCTCCGAGGGGGTAATATAAGCAGAGAATGTAAAATAATATTTTTTATCAGGACAGTAAATACAGTATGTATGACTTTGAATACATATTGGGTGCAGACCTGTTAAGAATAAAGGTGTCATGTTTATACAATCACTTTTCAGAGTAGACCACCACCTGAAGCTATCGTATTCTGACAATCTGGAATTCAGCTTCCTTGGGGCAAGAATCAGACTTCTGGGTGACTCCCCAAGTCCTGCTAATTCAAAATGGCATTTTAAAATAAAAATTTCATCTTCAGCAATTAAGACTTCTCCAAGATGCACACAATATACTACATCTCCACCCAAAAGGGACTTTTGCCTAGTTTCATTAGAACACTTTTGAAAAAGCATTCCCCCATTGTAAAGTACAATTCACTAACAAGCATCTTGCTAAAATATCTTTGACATATTTTATAGAGTCTTACACTTTACGGCCAGAAAGGACCACTAGATCAACTAGTCTGACCTCCTGTATATCAGAACACCAGCACCACCCAGGACCCACACACTGATACTTTGGTTGGTCTAATTTTGGTCATTGGGTATTATATCCCATGGGAGACTACACTATTATGTGCCACAGGCAGAGAATAGAAGGGACCAAGGGGCACCAGTGCCCAAGGCTCCCACAGTGGCAAGGAAGTGATTATGTGAGTTACACCATGGTAATCCTTTAATTTTTTTTTAAAGACTCTTTTTAAAAGGTTAATCCTAAAGTTACTTAAGTAGTACTATTCCTCTCATAATTCAGACAGCAACAAAGTAAATATCTTTCAAATAAATATACCTGTGCACGTATAGTTATACCCAGCCACTTGATACATCTAGCCTGACTCTTGTTTGAGAAAAAAATTGAAAGTGCTAGTTGGTTCTCAATAATGAACATGAGAGTATTTAAATCAAGAGTACATAATCTATAGAAGATAGTGCATGTATCTTGAACAAATTTTGCCCTATTTGGTAAATTAATGCTCAATGACTAGCCCAATACAGAATATAATTTTGATCAATCAAGGTCTATTTGTTAGTCAACAGATTCAGATTTGTTAAACATCTACTTGTTCAGTACATATACATTCTCGCTAACCCTCAAATTTCAAATTAACCAAAGCTTCTTATGAGCAAATTAATGAGCACTATGTAATTTCTCTAAAGTACTTAAAGAACCCACGACAAAAGAAGTGTGACATTCCAGTTATCTACAATTTAGATTTTTCATGTTCTGGAATTCAGCACAGCAGATAACTGTACAAAGTAATTTTTCTCCCATCTATTATTAATATTGCTCTTGGCTTTAAATACTGTGGAAAAAATTACAAAAAACTCTTAATACATATCGCTGTAGATTTCTTGTAATAAAGGATGCAAGAGTGCATCAGATTCAGTCTTTTTGATTATCTGAACAAGTTGAGCATGCTCTGTGACAAGCTGTCGGAGGTCAGCCATTTTCTGGAGGAGTTTTGGGAAGAGGAAGATGTCATCGGGATGGTTGTTTTGCAAGTGAAGTTTTAGTACATGCACAATGCCCTCCTGCATCTTTTCAATGTATTCTACATTTACAAGACCAGGACGATCTGTTCTCAAAACAAACAAAAGAATACACGTCATATAATCTTACCATTGTTCACATTTTATCTGCATGTAAGGCCTGCTCCAGGCATCCACTGAAGACAATGAGATTATTTCAATCAACACCAATGATTTTGGATCAGGGAAAAAGTAAAATCTTGTCATTAGTAAACTTTTGAAACAACTGAATAGCTATGGAATACTCTCTCAGGAGTACTGGTACAGACTAACTTTATTACATAAATAAATAGATCCTCATGACTTTTGCCAATGTTATTTCAAGATGGGCTGAAGAGAGAATTCTCCATGTGACTCAAAAACCTTCTGCTATAGTACAGTGGACATGTCTAGCCTGGATATCTGATTTTATGTTCTCTATATGAAGGTTGTGGCGTCTTCAACCCAAATCAGAAAGATGAATAAGATTAAGCATTTGTGTGTTTTTAATAAGCTCTTTGGAACAGGGAAGATATTTTACTGTGTTACTACAGTGCCAAACACATTGAGTCACCAATCTGGATTGGTACTTGATAGGTATTACCATAGTGCAATCAGTCATACAGGAGGCTGGCAACACCACTTATTATTAAGATTATGAGAGACTTCCCATTATCAGAACATGTTTTCAGTTGCTCATAACTTTGACAAATATGTGGGCTGAAATTTTCCATGCCAGATGCGTGCCTCAGGCTGGAACTTCAGCTGTTTCCAAGTATGAGGCTGGGAAAAACAGATATGTTGTCCATGTTAAAAAAAAAAAATCTTTTCTTTGGAAAGATATAGCACACCTGTTCTTTGGAACAGGGATTTCAAATTTGGCAAACGAAAGGGAGGCCTTTGTGTTAGGATGTTGGAGAAGGGGAGATGGATCTGATGAGGAGCCTTGGTACACAGGGACAACTGGGACTGTCTGGGCAAACAGACTTGGACAAGGCGCCTCGGAGAAGGAAGGTGACAATGAAATTGGACACGGAGCCTGGATGGGGAAATTTGAACTAGGAGCATCAACTGGAGGCTGTGGTGGGGGAAAGGGACTGATTAGATGAAGAGCTGGTAGAAGTGAGGCGGGGGGGGAGGGGGAGGAGGAGGAACGGGGACTGGGTATGGATGCTGAAGGTGACTGGGACGGTGAGTCCAGAAGGGCAAGACTATCATTTGCTGGGCAAGGATACGCCTCAGGAGTGAAGATAGACTGGCTAGGAGAGGACAGGAATGGGACAAGGAGCCAGGGATGGGTGTAAGCATTATGATTAGGCTTGGAAAGATCAGACTTTTATCAGGAAATTTGGATTTCACCATACACACACGAAACAAAAATGTTTCCATTGATAATAATCCAAATTTTCAGGCAGACAGAGCAAGAAAAATGCTGTCCAAGAGCTTAAGAGTTTGATTTAAGGATATTTATTTTGTATATTTTGACATGAGATGTTGACAATTTGTATTTTAACTAAGGCTGTCGATTAATAGCAGTTAACTCACGCGATTAACTAAAAAAATTAACTGCGATTTAAAAAATTAATCGCAATTAATCGCACTGTTAAACAATAGAATACCAATTGAAATTTATTACATATTTTTGGATGGTTTTCTACATTTTCAAATATATTGATTTCTATTACAACACAGAATACAAAGTGTACAGTGCTCACTTTATATTATTTTTGATCATATTTACAGTGCAAATATTTGTAAACAAAATAAATAGTATTTTTCAATTCACTTCATACAAATACTGTAGTGCAATCTCTTCATTGTGAAAGTGTAACTTACAAATGTAGATTTTTTTTGTTACATAACTGCACTCAAAAATAAAACAATGTAAAATTGTAGAGCCTACAAGGCCACTCAGTTCTACTTCTTGTTCAGTCAATTACTAAGACAAACAATTTTGTTTACAGGTTTCAGAGTAGTAGCCGTGTTAGTCTGTATCCGCAAAAAGAAGAACAGGAGTACTTGTGGCACCTTAGAGACTAACAAATTTATTAGAGCATAATAATTTTGTTTACATTCACGGGAGATACTGCTGACTGCTTCTTATTTACAATGTCACCAGAAAGTGAGACTAGACGTTCGCCTGGCACTTTTGTAGCCGGCGTTGCAAGATATTTACATGCCAGATATGCTAAACATTCATATGTTCCTTCATGCTTAGGCCACCATTCCAGAGGACGTTTCCATGCTGATGATGCTCGTTAAAAAATAATGCGTTAATTAAATTTGAGACTGAACTCCTTGGGGGAGAATTGTATGTCTCCTGTTCTGTTTTACCCTCATTCTGCCATATATTTCATGTTATAGAAGTCTCGGATGATGACCCAGCACATGTTCGTTTTAAGAACACTTTCACAGCAGATTTGACAAAACGCAAAGAAGGTACCAATGTGAAATTTCTAAAGATAGATAGAGCACTCGACCCAAGATTTAAGAATCTGAAGTGCCTTCTAAAAATCTGAGAGGGATGAGGTGTAGAGAATGCTTTCAGATGTCTTAAAAGAGCAACACTGATGCAGAAACTACAGAACCCGAACCACCAAAAAAGAAAATCGACCTTCTGCTGGTGGAATCCGACTCAGATGATAAAAATGAACACGACGGTCCGCTCTGCTTTGGATTTTATTGAGCAGAACCGCTCATCAGCATGGACGCAGGTCCCCTGGAATGCTGGTTGAAGCATGAAGGGACATATGAATCTTTAACGCATCTGGCACGTAAATATCTTGCAATACCGGCTACAATAGTGCCATGCAAATGCCTGTTCTCACTTTCAAGTGACATTGTAAACAAGATGCGGGCAGCATTATCTCCTGCAAATTGTAACCAAACTTGTTTGTCTGAGCGATTGGCTGAAGTAGGACTGAATGGACTTGTCGGTTCTAAAGTTTTACATTGTTTTATTTTTTGAATGCAGTTATTTTTTGTACATAATTCTACATTTGTAAGTTCAACTTTCATTATAAAGAGATTACACTACAGTACTTGTATTAGGTGAATTGAAATATACTATTCCTTTTGTTTTTTACAATGCAAACATTTGTAATAAAAAATAAAGATAAAGTGAGCACTATACACTTTGTATTCTGTGTTGTAATTGAAATTAATATATTTGAAAATGTAGAAAACATCCAAAATATTTAAATGCTATTTATTATTGTTTAACAGTGCGATTAATTGTGATTAAATTGTTTAATCGCATGATTAATCGCAAATAATATTTTTAATCGCTTGACAGCCCTAGTTTTAATGGTTATAAAGCTTTAACTTTGACTCTAAGTCTACTGTCATTAAATAATTATTGCCTGCCCTTTCAGTCTCCCACAACTATGAAAATTGAAAGTGATAAAATAAAAATACTTACACATCAATATTATCCACTGAAATTATATATAAAAATAAGCATCTGCCAAGCCTAATTATGATACCGTCTTTACTTACATGATCACATCTCCCTCCCCTCACTCTCCTCCCCCCAGGACTCTCTCATTCAGTGCATTGGGTGGCTGGTGCTCACTTAATGAACAGCTATTTAATATTTTGTTTTCTCCTTGTTGTTGGGTGTGTGGCCCCGGGCCTTATTTGCTGCCCACTATGCATACCCTGCCCTGAAGACAGAATTATTAATTTCTTCATTAACTTTTCTGTAGCACTCATAGTATCTGAGTATCTCACAATTATTAGTGAATTTATTTTAACAACACCCCTGTGAGATATGGGGATATTATTATCCACATTTTACAGCTGAGGACTGAGGCACACAGAGATTACAGTCAAAGTATCCACTAATTTTGGGTGCCCAAATTTGAGACCCCAGGCCTTGATTGTTCAGTGTAGCTAGAATTATAGAGCATTTATTATGTTCAAAGCATAGCTTCCTTTTACTTCAATTGTAGCTGTAAGTGCTCAGTTCTTCTGCAGATCAGACCCAAAGGTCTCAAGTCAGGCACCCAGAACATGAGGCGCACACACAACTAGTGACTACCTGGGAAAAGACTGGTTTGAGTGACTTGCCAAGCATCACATCAGAACTCTTTGGCAAAGGCAGGAATAGAATCCAGTTCTTGAGGTTAACAATCAACTGCCCTAACCATGATACCATCCTCTCTCTTCCTTGACCGTCTGTCTCATTCACTACACACCTTCAAACTTCTGTAACAAATAAAGCAGGGCTCCTGCTCTCCTTTGCTACACAGCCCTGCTGCATCTCCAAAGCACTACCTTGTGCACTGAATGAGGCAGGGGTCCCGTGAAAAAAAAAATGCCCATGTGATCATGTATTAAAAACTGGATCATATTAATATGCACAAGAAGGTTGAATTAGAGTTGCACAGGCATGGACAATTCCAGCATTTTCTAACTTTTGAGTGCTTGAGTTTACAACCTTAATGTTTTTTAACAGTTTGTGTACAGTAAAACAATGTTCACAGGGTATATTGGGACTTTTGTCTTATAGTAAATAATGATGGGGGGACGTTTGTGGATTGTACTTAGAGGGTATCAGGTCATAAGCTGTGGTACATTGATGAGAGTAAGAAGTTGGAATGTTGGGGCAGAGGTTTTTGGTCTGCACATTAAATAAAAGATGGAAGATGCAGGTTGGGCAGGTGGCTTATATGTAGTGAAGGAATTGGTGCAGTATGTTAAGTATGGGTCAGTACAGTGCGATATATGGTTCATTTTGTGAATATTGGGAGAACAGGTGAAAGGCTGTCCTGTTAATATGGGTGGATGAGGATCCAGAGATGGGAGGGTAAAGTTCGTTGTTTGGAGCACCTTGACTGTGCATTTTCAAATGTTTGTGAGGAGTTTTAAAGTGAAACCTTAACTCTGATTTTTTCCATTCTGTTTATTTTAAATTACATTCTTTTATGCCCCCCAAGTTATTAAATTTAGCGTGTAAACAATGTTGGGCAGTGGTTTGTTTGAGGTCGTCTGTGAATCATCTAGAACAGTGGTTCTCAACCTTTCTAGACTACTGTACCCCTTTCAGGAGTCTGATGTGTCTTACATACCCCAAGTTTCTCCTCACTTAAAAACTACTTACAAAATCAGTCATAAAAATACAAAAAAGTGTTGCAGCACACTATTACTTTAAATATTGTTCTTACATTTCAGTGTACTGTGTGTAGAGCAGCATCAACAAGTAATTGTTTCTGTATAAAATTTTAGTTTGTATTGACTTCACTAGTGCTTTTTATGTAGCCTGTTGTAAAACTAAGCAAATATCTAGATGAGTCGATGTACCCCCTGGAAGACCTCTGCGTACCCCTGGTTGAGAACCACTGATCTAGCACAACTTTAATAGAAAGTATTTATAATCTTAACTCAAATTTAAGAACGCTATTTTCTGGAAATAAAACATTAAAATTAAGGTCACAATCCTGCAATATGAAATGCCTGGGCAGAATGCTATGGCTGCGCAGAACCCTTTGATTTCAATGGGGGGGTCTACTCACATGTACCAGACAGCAACGTCAAAGCCATAATTTTATTGGCCTCTAAGGATGAGATTAAAAGAAACAGGAATATCTAACTCCACTATCAGTCCCGTATTGTTGTATTTCTCTGCCTGTTTCAGAGTTTAGAAATATTTCTTCATGCCCAACCCTATTCTTCAAGGAATGGATACTCTTCACATCCCACTTTTAAAACTAGAAAGCCCCAAGGCACCAATCCAACGAAATGTTGTAAATGGGCAGACTCCTGTGCAATACATTGCAGGATTAAGGCCTTAATGAGTATGTGTCTTGTACCAAACATAATTTAACATGAGACAAACATTTAGTGGCAGAACTGAATTGTCATAATTCCATAAACTGCAACAAAATATACTTTTCCATTTTTAAATTACTAAATGATGGGAGTGAAATCATAAATATTACTTCAAAGAACAGATATTTATCTCTTACCTCCACAGCAAATGATAGCAGCTACAAAAAGCGATATGTCACTATCATCCAGCTCCAGTGCATTGAATTTCATTGCAAAATCAAACTTCGGCTCCATAATATCACAAAATGGCTTTCTTAGGCTTTTCAGGAACTCTCGAGTTATAAAGCCGTTTCCATAGGCTACCAGCATCCCATCTTTGTTCATTACAGAAGCTAGCATGGCAAAAATGGCTTCATAAACTCCATATTTTAACAGAGTCACCTGATCATTCAAATCAAGATTTGAGAAGCCAGGGATAGATTTGGCAAATTCAGTAAGTTCTGTTACAGTCTCTACAGATGTACACTGGCAACAATGGAAGATTCGAACTTCTGCTTCCTTGTTCTGGATTCCATTGGCTACCAGTTTTGCCACCAGAGTCTTCTCTGCCATACACAGTGTTTCCATGTCATGTATAACAAATGGCTACAGAGAAAGGTACCAATTAATCCATTTACAAAATATATATTTGAGGACTATTTCATTCCCCACACTGATCAGTCTTTAGCCATTAATAAACCCTGAATTAAAAGGATAAGGACTAAATTGGTAGTACTAATTTGGCATTTATGCAGATGACATCCTGTGATGATTTGAGAAATCTGTCTCTACAGCTTATGAATTCTGGTTGCAATGGTCAAGTTGTTCTTATGAAAAACACTATCATGGAATGTCTCTATGTCAATGTGTATCCGCCATTGCTGATGAACCTATCACAACTCTCCCAGGCCTGGTCTAAATTTAAAACTTAGGTTAACGTAGCTATGGCATGCAGGGGTGTGAAAACTCCACACTGTTGAGCGCTATAGTTATACCAACCTAAACTTTGGTGTAGATGCAGCTAGGTTGAAGGAATGCCTCTGTTGCTCTAGCTACCATTCTCTGGGAATGGAATTCCTACAGTGATGGAAAAACACCTTCTGTCACTGTAGCCTGCCAAACCATAGCTATGCCACTATAGCACAGTCATGGCCCCAGGCTAGAAACAGTGGAGAGTAGAACAGTTAACATTAATGACTGTGCTCTGACTGGTCAATAGGTATACTAAGGAGGTTGGCTGGAATGGGGACAAGTTACTTCCTCCAGCTCATCTGTAAGGAGTAAAGGGCTTGGAGAATGTAAAATTACCAGAAGCAGGTCACAAGAACCAGCGACTGGTGGTGGGACATATGAACTTGAGGGACTTACAGAGCCATCTAGGAAGTTTTGGGCTGGAGACAGGGGAAAAGTCTGGCATGCTTTCATAGTGGGAGCAAGGGGGTTTAGCTATGCGACCAACCAAGAATAGAGAAACCAAGCTGACCTACGGAGGGAGAGGCTCTATAAATCAGAAATCAAGCCATGAGCTGCAGAAGGAGGATCTTTGACATCCCTAGAGTATCCAGACCCCAGTCCAAAGAATTCTCTGGAGTGACAAGAAAACATGTTGCAGGGAAATGTGTGGAGGATGTATTATTTTAATATAGCTCTGTGTATTTTTTATGAGGTTAAGTAAAGAGCAGTGGTGGTTTAGAATTCTTCACGAAGTCTGTCCGCATGTTTGTTATGTGTTGCACCTCTCATGCGCTGTTAAAAAGTTAGCCTCTGAACCCAAAACACCCACATAGCTACAGTTCTGGGAGAGGGTGTGTTAAAGTTATGCAAAGTTTAAAGGGTAAGCAGTGGTCCCCCAAGGGCTGGGCAGTTGGACTACAAGGTCTGTTCTCAGGAGGAGGTGCTAGACAAAGGGTCTGTACACCAAGAGTGTGCCTGGGACCCACAGCTAGGGGCAGCACATGGTCTCTGTTCAGGCTCTGATGGCTTAAAGCACATGGAATCCAGTTGCTGGAACCCTCACAGCAGTCTGGTGAGCAGTCAAGACGGGGCATTTGACAAGATCTGTGACACATCCCATTCACCTCAGTGGGATATTAGCTATGTAAACGCTAAGGACTGCAGGATTTGACTAAGAGGAACTAATTTAAACATAGGTTGGCACTTTACATATTTACACAGTCCTCTTACAACTATCAGTAGAATTGGACTTTTGTATTGTTCTTGTACTTCACTACTGGATTATTTATTTAAAGTTATATCTGTGCAACTGATCTTCTGCAGGAGCTCTAGCCATTACTCCTATTTAAGGTTACTGCTGGATTGTTATTACAGATAATGATTTTCAAGACACTAGAACAGTGTCTCACAACGTAATAAAAATATTCAGCACTGAGCAAGAACTTTCTCCTCTCCATGAATGAGGATGCTCTAAATAAAGAAATCTGTGTACTGCAAACTGAGGAGATGATTCCTTCAAAAATTAATTAAAAGCCACAATTTCTTAAACAGAGTGATCAGAGCTCAGGAAAATGATAATCAGACTATAAGGCCTCAAAATATTTTTGACGAGCAAGAATTACAAAAAAGGGCTATCCATTAAGAAAAACTAGGTCTATAGAAGTGGACACCAGTTATAAATCTGGTTCCTTAAGTTAATCAAAGTATTTCCCATCTAAGGTAAGTAAACCATGTGAAGTCCTTAAATCCTTATTCAATTCTCCTTCAGGTAAAACTCTCCTTGTAGTCAGTGAATTTTGCTTGAGTAAGGACTTCAAGATTTAACTGAGAGTGAAAAGGTTAATCTCTATTTAGATAACTGTAATATATACATTTTTCTTAGGAGTCAGTGACATCTCATTGGTACTTGTCCATCTTTGATCTGCTTATGGTAGCTACACTCTACACTATTTCATTACTTCTAAATATTATGAACATAAAAAACTTCATGGGGGGGGGAATAAAACACCCACGTTTCTAAACCATTTAAAAGGTTTAACCTATTTTTTTAAATACTGTGGGTCATTAGAATTTAACACCTTTTCAGTACAAAATGCTGTTCTTTGAGGGTGGTGTGTGTGTCTGTGTGTGTAAGTAAAAATCTATTGCCAAATCCATCTTGGGACCCAATGTTAATACTGCTACCTTGTCTCTAGGTAAAAGAGCTTGAAATTTCTGAAAATGAACTACAGTTGTGCCAAGAAGAAATGGTTACTCACCCCGTGCAGTAACTGGTTCTTTGAACTTATGTGTACTACACTCCAAGTTCGCTAGTGTCCCCTGCGCTTTGGACTGGAGATTTCTCATAGCTGTGTCCATTTGGCCTGCACATCTGTGTTAGTCAGTCTCGTGCGCAGTGCAGTTGTTACATAGGACTGTGTGGGAAAACTGCCCTCCGTTCCTCCTATATTGCGGAGCCCCATGGCCAAGAACTCCGAAGCAGAGGGGATGGAGGGCAGGTAGTGGAGCACCCATCAGGGAAACACATCTTGAAGAACCACAATTACTGCACAGGGGGAGTATCCATTTCTTCTTCTTCAAGTAGTGTTCCCATGGGTGCTCTAGGTGACTATAGAGCAGTGTGCTCTAAGGTGGAAGGGGCTTCGGAGTTGAGTCCAGTATGGTGGAAAGTACAGTCGAGCTGAACGCAGTATCGGTGGTGGAGTCATGAGTTATTGCATAGTGTTTGGCGACTGTATGGATGGATGCCCTAATAGTGGCTCTATAGATGTTGGTGACAGATAGGTTTTTGAGGAAGGCCGTGGAAGTGGCAATGGACCTTGTAGAATGAGTGTATAAGCAAAGGTGGTTGAATGTTACAAGACTGGTAACAAGTTACTGCAGTCTGATATCCACTTGGAAAGCCTCGGGTTAGAGACTGCTGATCCTTTTGATCTGTCTGCTATCGAGACAAATAATTTGTCTATCTTTCTGAAGGGCTTTGTTCTGTCTAGACAAAAGGCCAGAGCTCTCCAGGGTATGCAGCACTGTGTCCTGGGAATTCAGATGTGGTTTGGGATAGAAGACAGGCAAACGAATGGGCTGATAGAGATGGAACACAAAAGAGATCTTAGGTAAGAATGCGAAGTGGGGCTGCAGTGTGACCTTGTCCTTAAAACACTGTGAAGGGGGGATATGCCATTAGGGCCTCTATTTCTCCAACCCACTGCACCATCAGGGATGCCATCTTCATTGCAAATGGAGCAGTGAGAAGGTAGCCAGAGGTTTAAAGGTCAGTCTTGTGAGGCATTTCAGGACCAGATTGAGGTCCCATACTGGGGTAGGGAGTTGGACCAGTGGATAAAAGGTTTTCTATCCCTCCAAGGAATCTTGCTGTGGTCAGGTGGGTAAAGATGGAATAGCCCTATATTGGGGGGTGAAAAGCCAGGATGGCTGCCAGGGAGACTCTTCTGGAGCTCATCAAGGTTTTCAGAGCTAGGATGTAGTATATCTGGAAATGATGATGTCATTGGTGAAAGCTGCCTGCGGTCACACCAATTAGCAAACCGCATCCATTTTTCAGAATACATGTAGTGAGTAGCTTGTTTCCCGCTGTGTAATATCACTCTTTTTACGTCCTCTGAGCAGGCTGTCTCTAATCGCATGAGCCATCAACAACCATGCTTTGAGACCAAGCATCGTGAGATTGGGATGAAAAAAATCTTCCTGCACTCTTAGAAGAGGAGATGGGGAGTGATGCGGAGAGTGATCGGAGGGCAAACAGATAGCTGTATCAGATAAGAAAACCTTGTTTGCCTGGGCCAAGTCGGAACTATTAGAATTACTCTGGCTCCGGCACTCTTTATTTTGAGCATAACTTTGGCTATTAGGAGAGTTGGCAGGAGTGCATACTGTAGGGTTGACCACCACTGAAGGTGAAAAGCATTCCCTATGGATTGGTGACCCAATCTGCTCCTTGAGCAGACGTGGCAAACAAGTTTATCTGGGGGGTACCGTACTGACAGAATCTGTGATGTAATATGTTGGGGTTTATTTCCCACTTGTCATCTTGGAAGAAGTGTCTGCTGAGACACATTCTGAATGTCCAGGAGATAGGCTGCTGTGATAGTGATCTGGTTTCATATGCACCAGTTCCAGAGTCTGGGGTAGTCCTCTCTGCCACAGCCCTGAAGCAGCCTGCACCTCAAACCCCGCATCCCCAGCCCCACCCCAGAGCCCGTGCCACCCCACACCCCAACCCTCTGCCCCAGCCCTGAACCCCCTCCCACACTCCAAACCCCACCACCACAAATCACCTCCATATTGGTGCACATAACAAAATTAATTCCACACATGGACGTAAAAAATTAGAGAGAACACTGGTTCAAACCCTCAATCACCACATCAAAATTGCTGCTTGGTGTGTGAGGCAAGAGGCTGAGAAGTGGATGGTTTCCTTCCCTGAAACCTATGCCTTCTCTGGTGTGGCGCATACATCCTCTAGGAGGGAAGGAATTGGACGGGGCATGATCTGAGGGCCATCTGAGACTTGCTGAGTTTTGTAGTGTATGTAGGAGTATAAATGCCAAGAGAATGCAAAGTCACTCTAGAATCCCTCAGTGGTTGCAGAGACTTGTCTGTACTATCTGAAAACAAATTAGAGCCATCAAAAG